TTTTTTTTTTTTTTTTTTTTTTTTAATGAGTGTAGGTTCCTTCGCTGAAACCGCTAGGCGAAGAAACTGAATTTTCATTTCGTCGTTTTTAAACTACGGTAGGCTATATAACCCAAGAGCCTTGCTCAGTGGGTACACCCTTGAACTGTTGAAATACAGACCTGTGTTCGAATCCAGATGATGGAACTTGACGAGTAAAGCYAACTACTAATGAATTGCTTGGGGCCAGTCACCGCCCACCGCCCTAATTGAAGGTGGTGAGGGATTGACGTGCCGCCGCCCCTAGAGGAGGAAAGACCGAGCATTTCTCCCGCAGTTGCACCTCCCATCTACTTCCCCTACCCCCCATCCCTTAGCGGCTTTGACTATGGCCAACACTATCCACACACCACACACAACCCGCTCACGCTCATACTCACATCCGTTTTGGTCACAGACCCTACTAGTACCGATCAGGGGTATCAARCTGACTATCACAGTCCGTTGGCACTACGGGCGTGGCAGGTGGTCATGGGGCTAGAACCCACAATTTCCTGCCGTTGGCACTAAGGGCGTGGCAGGTGGCCATGGGGCTAGAACTTACAACCTCCTGAACGCCACTTGCGTGCCTAACCAACTGATATAGGCCGTAGACAAAAGGCCTAAAGCGCATCCCGAGCCGGCTACGGTAGTTGACAAAGCCACTGGCAACCTCTTTTTCTGCGTTTTTTATTTTGGTTTTTTTTTTTTATGTTGCAAGAGTTTTTTTTTTCTTTCTATATTCTTCTCTCAACTTCTGTTTCTTTTTTTTCTTTTTTCTTTTTTTTTCTTTTTCTTTGTTCCTTTTTTTAAAAAGGGCGACGGTCTTGAGATATTATCATTGAGCTGACCGACCCCAAGCAATTTATTAGTAGTTGGTTTCAATTGTCAAGTTCCATCAGCTGGATTCGAACACAGGTCTGTAATTCAACAGTTCATAGGTGTACCCACTGAGCTAGGCTCTTGGGTCTTCTGTTTCTTTTACCTTCCACTACCTACTCCTAAGACTATCTAGAGGGGACCCCTGCAAGCATAGTTTCCTCTCTATGTGAAGGGGAGATTTCATGTTGCCCCTTGCCCCTAATGGTTAGGGTATAGGGTTGG